TTATTATGCACTTGCCGTAGGGCATTATATCTTTATCATCCGTGAGTTGATGTACACAAATGGGGACACGATACCCTCGCGTACTGTCTTTTATCGGGATACACAAAAACACAATGATGAGTGGCAGGAAGCTCCACCCCTGCGTGGGGAAACCCATAGTTATTGCTTCTTTCAGGCCAATGACAAGATTTATGGTTTGGGAATCTTTACAAATCTCACTTTCGAAGTAAAATGTCTTGACTTCCATGATTTGGCTAAAGGTTGGCAGTCCATATATCCCATTGGTGATAAAGCCTTTAGACCCCGGATAGGGGTAGGCTATTCTGTTTGTGCTTTCAAACTTGAGTATAAAACTACAGATGATTCAGCTACCAGTGAAAACAAACTTGTTGTTATGCGAGCTATGATTTTTGCACAGAAACGTGTGATTTCCTATAATTTTGAAACCAATGATTTTCATGGGGGAGGATTTTTACAACATAGGTGTTGGCCTTGGGAATAACATGATTTACGGGTTGGTCTTGAACGAGCAAAATCTAAGATCCATTCTTATGGCCTTCAAAGACGATGTTCCGGAATGGTGCCCAACCCCAGTTCTTGGTTTGGGGAACATTGACAATGCTTTGCCGGTGGGCTATGGCCTTGTGTATCCCCCAACAAAATTGTTGGTCATAGGCAAAGAACGTCTCTGTATTATTTGGGCTGATCGTCGCTCTGCCATCACTCGAATTTATTGCACCAAGTTTAGTGTTATTGTGAAGGATGGGAACTCACATGCTATAAATGTTACCCAACAGGTGTAGTCAAGGGATTTTGTGCGGAAAATTTAGAGGCCTTGTAAGTAATTGTTTGTTTGTGTGCATGTGCATGTGTTTCTTTCTTCTTTTTTTTTGTTTTCTCTAGTTGCTGAAGGTTGCGTTGTTCAGAGTAAGTAGTGGATTATGACTTATGAGAGTCACCCTACACATGCAGCAGAATGATATTTTGGGGGCAACATGTACTCTCTAACAGAGAGTGCACATAGCATTTGTCAAGTAGCCTTTATTAACTTTAATTGGTTTGCCAATTTGTTCTGCTGCAGTGTTAGTAGCAGTGAGATGCTATCACTATTCCAGGAAAGGGAGAATGCATGCAGGCAAGTGGGCTGTGCAAGGTATGATATATGCTACAATGTTAATTTATGTATCAGTGATTGATAGTGTTCCATTGAGTGATCGTCCTCTTGATTCATTATGGAGCTTGTTACAAGTGCTGGGTATTGACAACCCACACTGTTGAATAATGAAGTGTTTTTTTGTAGTAGTTGGCGTTCTTGACCCCCGTTTTCATTAAATCTGAATATGTGTGGTGTGATTGTCATATACAGCCACTACAAGAAAATTGATGTTTTGGCGCACTTAAAATAGTTGCTTGCCACACTTATAAATGTGGAAAAAACGACTTGCTACACATGACCTAAGTGCGGCTACGTAAATGTGGAGAATTTTTCGCCACACTTATAAATAAGTGTGGCTAATGAATATTTTAACCACACTTAGTAAGTGTGACTAATATTTTATTTTGCCACACTTATATGTGTTCTTATAACATCAGCACTTGTAAGTGTTGCAAATATCGTATTAATTTTTAAAAAAATATTAATATAAAATTTATTATTTCTAAGAACATAAAAACTACTCCGTATATTTTAATTATTGATCTTCTTTAAATTAAAGAGTTTTATACTAGTACTAATTAGAGTAATGACGGCTATTTTATTTTTAGAACAGAGCACACATACGCATTCAATTAAAATCAACCACTAATTACATGCGTCAATCATTAGTATACAGAATCGAACATCCAAAAGACACTACAACCAGCAAAACTAAATAAAAAAGCCAACTCTATTTTTAGATTTAATAAAGGTTCTTGTCTAAAGTATGGCTACTACAAAATCAGGCTTTAGCATTGTTTTTTTTTTGACTTTTTTCCCTTCCCAGTTTTCCAGGCTTGAATTGTCCTGTCCACCGATAAAGTTATAAGGTAGTTGTCTTTACTCTTTTGGATGATAACTTACGCTGGTTACCTGGAAAAAAACACAATTATAACTACGCAAGGCAGTATCATTGGGCATATGAATAGAACCAAGGGCAAACAGTTATCCACACTTGGTGTTACGTTGCAATCAGAGAAAATAAAGTGCAGAGATACGATCAACAATTAGTCTCATGGACACTTACAATAAGAAAGTCTCTTGCTATAATGTTCCAACCTAGAGCCTCCATAGCATCTACCTAAAAGTAAAAAATAAAAAAATTCAGTCAAAAGAAATCGGAAATCAAGTATTAATGCTCTAAGAGGTGTTTTGGGATAACCTCTTAGAGCATGCTGAAGACCATCAGCCCATTTTGTTGGTGGACCTGAAAGAAAACAGTAAGGAGGAGACTGGATTTGATTAGGCAAACAAAGAGAATCAATATTCACCTGAAGGTAACCAAGTCTGCTAAAATCCCAAAAGGCATGAGGTGACTTTTCGGATGGCTCTTGACACATAGCTATCTCCAGCAGGTACGGTTCTCCTTTTCAGTTTCATCTAGTACTTCACACATAGATTCCTTCATTCACATTGAGAATTCTATTCTCATAAATATTGAATATCTTACCAAAAATTGATAAAGGCAGGGTTTAAAATTCACCCCAGAGAAGCATCAGCATTCAGACAAATGGCTTGTTGATAGCACTTCAAAGCCGCTGAGGGTCACAAGCAAAGCTGGCATAATAATAACTTAGATACCAAAAAAGAACTCCGTTATGAGGGTTGAGTTTTGCAGATATGAGAAACTGTTATGTGCCTTTCCCCTTGGTCCCTTCATCTTTAGTGCTGCTGGCAACCTTCTTTCACAGAAGCAATCCTAAATCAAAATGAAGACGAGGACCATCTTGCTGAGACTGTCAACTTTCTTCAAGCTCTAGCTCCCTCTCTTTTGTTCGAACTAGAAGCTTCTTCTCCACTCTGTCTCATGGAAATAACATACAAAATATAATGATACTCGTATTCAATTTAGCAAAATTGTGAAGAGATGATGATAGAGAGTTAGAGTGATCACCATATTTTGCTCTTTTGCTCTGCAACGTGATTTTCAGGCTTATTAGAGCTTTAAGAACGCCATGGAAAGATGTGCAGCGGGAGCACAGTATTCTGGTAATTGTTAGAAAGAGATGGTGAATCCCTTGATGGAGACGGGAGGGAACTTCGAGTGCAGATACCGTGATTGGGGGGAATAGGCCATGTAAAAGTAAATATAATTTCACAAAATCAAGTATATCAAATTCTAAGACTCAATCACCACCACACAAAATTAATAAATTTTTTCATGAGGATAACAAATAAAGTCAATAGCTCAATGAAATCAGAAACTGAGTTTTGGAAATCAAGTCTATCAAAGTGAATACCTTCATCACATGTTTAAGAACTAAATAAATTTCAAGAATTTAACTAAAAACCTAAATAGCTTTGGAAAAAAATTAAAAAGTCACAACTCAATTTATACCACATATCTCCATACTATCACTCACAAATATATGCCTCATTTGCTTAAAGAAATTTGGGAAACAAATAGGAAAAAAACAATAACCTGAAGTAATGGGCAGATTCGGTGTCAAAGTTGCTACAACCGTCGGCGTCAATTGAAATCGTCAGGACCAATAGTCTTCTTCATCGACACAGGTGCCTTCTTCGACAAAAATGGTTGGATTCTTCGCCAAAACAGTTTCTCCCTTCGTGTTTCATGTGTCTCATTCGTCATTGAGCTTCGATCGAGGAACAGAGTAGAGACGGAAGAAATTAAGTGGAACTAACCCTAAGAGAAATACGAAAAAATACTGAGAAAAAAAGGGTTTTTTTTCACAGTATTTGTTTTATGATATATACGAAACTAATACTCCGTATTAGATACAGGTTTCCAGTTGCCACACGTACGGAGTATTCTTAATTTAATTAAATTGATTATGGATATTCTTCAAAAAAAATGATTACAGATAAAATTTGATTCCCACGCTTATAAATGTCAGGAAACTTTGCCCATTTAAATTCCTAACCACATATACCTATGTGCTGCAAAATATATGCGGCCAAATACGTTTTTTCTTGTAGTGAGCAAGCTCCATGAAGCGCGCAAAAGCAAGGCCTGAGGAGGTAGTGCAAGGATCAAGGTTGGTGTGCATTTTGAATGGGTGGTGTAGGTAGTGTTTTCTCTGGTGCATGTGTTAAATATGGATTCGTGAGGTCCTTCACTTTTGCTTATCTCAAGTGCTCTGAACAAATGCCATGTATGTCATCATTATCAGGGCGTGTTTCATGTGTTGACGATCACAAAGACATTAGGGGTTACTCCTAGGAGTGAATGGAAGTAACCAATATCATTATAACTTTAAAGATCTTCTCCTTTCATTTTTTTTGTTGTCCTCAATAGATGTTCCCTTATCTTTTAAAAAATCATTTTTAGCCCTTACTTTTTCATATCTTACATATCAAATCATACCTTTTTTACTAATAATCTATTCATCACACTTTACTTTTACTCAACACATCAAGGATATTTTAGGAAAGTCAACACAAAAATATTCTTCTTTAATTTCTCAAAAATTCAACAAGGAAAACCCTTTCGGGGACGGAGGAAGTATTATCACTCTGTGGTATTGGTATAACTGCTTGCCTTTTTTGCCTTGTGATACATTAATTAAAAAGTGAATGAATGTTTATGTCTAATATATATATATATATATATATATATATATATATATATATATATATATATATATATATATATATATATATATATATATATATATATATGCTCATTCCATTCCTCATCATACAACGTTGGCCGTAGAGGTTACATCCTTATCAATTGCTTTTAAAAAAGAAAATATGCCCCTTAGCTTCCTCATCAAAGATGCCATATTCTCTTTTCAACGGTGTGGAACTAAATAGCCAATGAAATTATTTAATGAGTTGCGTTGCAGTCAAAATATATAAATATAAACACCACTATAGTGCAGTGCAAGCTAAGCTAACAATTAAGTCCATGGAGAAGCAAGAACAAAAAATAATAATAAATGACAATAACAATGAACTGCAGCAAAAGGGAGAAAATACGGATTCTGGTTCGCCACCGCCGCCGTGTTCGTCTACCTTAGCCCCTGACGGCGACCAACTCAGTCCGGTTCACGATCTCTCAGACCCACTGCTCTTGTCCTCTGCCGTCTACTTTGACGACATCTTTGGGCCATCTTCCACGGTATGTTTTTAGGCCATGTCCTACCCTAGCTACTACTCCCTTCATTTCTTATAACAATTCTTATCTTGACTAGTAGAAGTATTAAAGAGTCTATATATATTTGTGGTTGACTTTCTAATTTTGCCTTTAATCTGATGGATAAAAGTAAGATATTATAACTAGATTTTTAGTAAAAAATATGGCGTGATAGTCTGATAGATATGATAAGAAAAAATAAGGATAAAAGTAATTTTTATAATAAAGTTAAAGTTTTTTAGAGAAAGAAAAAAATGAAAGACAAAATTGGAAAGTTACACAAAGATTTTACATTTCTTAAATCACATTTTTTTCAAAATGGAATAGCTCGATCTATGGGATGGAGAGCTAGCGCGCACTACTTAATCATACTTGAATAATGTCAAATAGCGGAAACAAAATATTCAGTGACTATATTGAAAAATCAAAATATATGGTACTATTTTGAGAAACTCGTCATGTTTTAATACTATATAGGTAAATTTTTCAAAAATAACACATTAATGTTTTTTCGAATAATGTGAATAAATATGATTAGTTTAGAGATTATTCATATCTTTAAATTTGAAGATAAATATTGTACTGCGTAATTAATCTGTAATTTTTCTGTTGTGTAGGGACTAGTAGGGAAACAATACACTGGTCAGGGATTGTTGTGTAGGAGTTATAAATTCAAAAGTGGAGCTCTCCCTGCAGGTTTAATTTGTTTGTTTGTAACACTGCATGCCATTTAATGGAGTAATAACAAAAGTATTCTGGCAACTTTTTTTCAATATATCGTTTTTTCATTGGCATAGACTACTATACAGTATACACATTACATGCATGCATGCATGAACATAAGTTATAATTTTGTGTTTCTTTCTTTTCTTGTTAGAATATAAAAACCTTTTTCTCGGTCTAATAATACACCCTTGAACTTTTTTATTAGAATAGGTTTATTGACATTATATTGTATTCGAGTTATTACCAAAAAGTCATAGTTTATACTCACTTTCGTCCAATTTTTTTAAAAAAATTAACATTTCACGTGCAAGGCCCGAAACGATGACGCCTGCACGCAAGGCTGTGTGTAAGAATGTATTACCCGGAGTATTTCTTTAGGAGAATTTACTTAAATAGCGCTAAAACATAATGACTTTCTCTAAATAGCATCACATGTGTTTTTCTTCCCAATGTAGCACTTTTAGTCATTATGCATAAGTCATTGTTAAGTAAATATTCATCATTACGTACTGGACATTATGGACATTATTAAGTGCTATTTAGGGAATAAAACAATTTAATTAAGTGCTATATAGGGAAATGATTTATGTTTTAGTGCTATTTTTTTAAGTATCCAAATATTCAAAACAAAACATTTTGTCAAAGGATCTATTTAACAATCACAAAAAGTCAAAACGAGAAGATCTTAGGGGAACGGAGAGAGTAATTAACAACTAGTTTAAAAATGTTGCAGATGGGAGTGGAGGCATAATAATGGATGGGGAGAGAAAGATAAAAAGTTCAATGCCAGAGATTGGTGAAGGAGAAGAATGGCCAACCAATTTCACCACTTCTATATATTATGGTGGTCAAGACGTGGTTGATACCACCCCTTCCTCTCACGTCAGTCATCAATTTCAATTCTTTTTTTAATGTAACGCATTAACAATTGATATCTATATTTAATCATTTATATTTTTTATTTAATTATTTGTATAAATAATTACTCCTCATTATTTTATAAAAATATGATACTTTTTTAATTAATTATTGTTGATTACCAGCCAAAGAAAAAAGATGGAGATGATGATAAACATGTGGATAACTATGGTACCCAAGGTGATTGGTGGAAAGGTATGTTTATTTATAACTTTAACCCCTCCATGGATACATTTTGAGGGGGAAAGAAAATAAGGATGAAAAATTTTAAAGAGAAAAGAAAAATTATTTTCTCTTATCTTCATATTTTTTAATATAGGATTGAAACTTTTTTATTCTCTAAATAGTACTTAATAATGTCTAATGGGAAGGTATGTTTATTTATAACTTTAACCCCTCCATGGATACATTTTGAGGGGGAAAGAAAATAAGGATGAAAAATTTTAAAGAGAAAAGAAAAATTATTTTCTCTTATCTTCATATTTTTCAATATAGGATTGAAACTTTTTTATTCTCTAAATAGTACTTAATAATGTCTAATGGGAGGAATAATGTTCAGTGATGATAAACATTTACTTGAATAATGACAAATGGATAATGACGAATGGTCTTACATTGAAAAATAAAAACATATGATTTTGTATTGGGACAATCATTATGTTTTAGTCCTATTTAAGTAAATTCCCCATTTTCAAGCATAATTAATCTTTTTACCTCCTTATTTTCCAACCAGTATTTGATTTTGTCTCCTATTTTCCCTTCTCCAAACGAGGGGTAAGAGCAAAATAGTCCATTCAATAAGACGTTTCCCAAAACCTATCTTTAATAATCAATAGTTACTTACGGAGTATATGATATTTGATAATTGAGATGTTTTTTCTTGATAGTCGTCTTCAATAAACAATACTCTTTCCGAGTCTCTATTCGAAAATGTTCTTCCCATTTGACTTTTTACGGTCTCTAAGATTGTACTTTAACCAACAATATCTTTATTTATACATAGATATATTTTATAAAAATTTGATATTTTAAAACTACGTTTCAAAAGAAATATATTCATATTAAAGTTATACCATAATACAATGTATTCTTTCCACATATCATAATTAAAGTTTACAAACTCTGACAAAAGAAGTCAAATGAGAAGAATACTTCTAGACGGGCGAGTAATTATCTAGATAGCAACTTACAATTTAGATTTTTCTTCTGATAATTGGTGGTTTATAAACTTCAAAGGGTGATCTGATTTGGAAAAAGATTTAATAACAAAGGACTACTTTGAGAACTTTCTCATAGCTTAAGATGATGAAAAATAATCTAAAATACATTATAATAATTTTTTCGTATGTAGTAACTTATTGGGCACATTTTTTAGGAGGACTACGAGGATTATAACTTATGGAACAAATAAACTGTTAGAATATAAATAACTGTTCCTGGGCCACAACCACAAGTTTGAGCTTGTGGTTGAGTTGGTTCTTTGACATGGTATCAGAGCCTCGTTGACTAAGAGGTCACGGGTTCGAAACACAGCGCAACACAATTTAAAAAAATTAAGGTTTCACGTGCAAGGCTCGAAAAAGACTTCGCCTGCACGTGAGGGGGTGTGTTAGAATATAAATAACTGTTCCTGGGCCACAACCACAAGCTTGAAGTTGTGGTTGAGTTGGTTCCTTGACATAAATTGAATTATATAGAAAGAGAAAAAAGATATTATACTATAACAATGATATATCCTTTTGGTAATCAAATTTCTTGGATTTTGATTCTCTTTCGTATGTGTGTAGGGTCATACCATTACTGAAGCGAGGAGCTAATTAAGTACGTACAGCTGCATGGAGTTGCATGCACGTCACAAAACACACTAATTTCTGGTTCTTTATTTTGTGTTTATTTTTTTCCTCCTCTTTTAAAAGGCACTTTGTAATAAAGTTGTGCATGTGATGCAACAGCAATATCCTTTGTATCTTAAATTAATTAATACTCCCTTCCTCCCATAAAACCCTTCATATTTGAAAAAATAGACGCATGACGGATAAGTTATAATGAAAGAATAACACCAAATTACTCATTTTAAATGCACTCTTTTTTTAAATAGAAAGAGTTTTATTGGACGGAAGGAGTAGCTATTAATGTTGTCAACTTCAGAGTTGCTAGGTATCCCATATCCTACAATAAAGTTAGGTTAAAAATTAGAAAATGATATAAAAATTTCATATTCATTAAATCCTACTTTTTTCAAACTATAAAAATTTCGTAGGACACTGGAGAGAGTATAAAAAGGTCTACTCTCGGTATAAAATACTACATTCTTTTCTTAAAATACTTTCTCTTTCATTTTTTTCTCTTTCCCAAAAACACTTCCGCATTTTATTTAAAAAAACCTCTTGACCCTTACTGTTTCTTACCCTATATCTTTCACTAATAATCTACATGTCACATCATCTTACTTTTAGTTATTACATCAAGGGCAAAATTGCAAAGTCAACTAAAAATATAAATTCTTTATTTTGGCTAGCTAAAAGTCAAAATAAAAATTATTCATTGAAACAGAGGGAGTAAGAGATAATACAATTATGTAATTTTATAAAATCATCAATCAAAACACAAAAGTAAATAAATATCATTATAAGTTTGAAATAATGAATGTAAGTTTCTTTTGGGGAATTGAGAGTAACTTTTCCTGATTACAATTTGATTAATCCTCTCTAAAAAAATGAGCAACGCTGGGTTCACAAACAAAATCGTAACGAACGTTACAAATTTACGATTTAAATTCTTATTTTAAAATTATTTTAGACTAATTTAATTTTTTAAAAAATTATAAAAAAATAAGTTTGTAAAATTTGTGACAATTTCATTTGTGAATCAAATATTTCTCCTAAAAAAATAATCTCCTCCTCTTCATCATGCTTATACGGGCCCAATGATTTTTAAATCACATTGGTGGGATGTGTGAGGAAACGTGTGATCTACTACAAGTAAAATAAAGGGCCTTAAAACATAGACGGGCCCATGAATTCCTAAATTCACATTGATGGGCTGTGTGGGGAAGCGTGTGATCTACTACAAATAAAATAAAGGGAAAATGTTCAAAAAGTTAAAGAGGTTTTAAAGGATTCAAGCTCAAATTAGGCCATGTGGTATGCACGACGAGAAGGGGAATGCCCGCGTAGGCAACGAGAAGAAGGGAAACAAAGAATCAATTCTCATATTTTTTCACATTTCTAGTAGGGTTTTGTTTCATATTTTTTCACATTTTCAGCACAAAGGATCAATTCTGACCACTCGTGTCTTCATTAGATTTCACTTTTATTCTATTTATTATTTTAATGAAATGTTCAATTTAAATTCTAATTACGAAAATTTGTATTGTAATGTATATTTTTTGTTAAATTATTTTATGAAAAATAAGTGTTAACAAATATATTAAAAATTGAGTAAATTCCCAAAATAATCCTTTGTAATAAGGGGTTTTCCCAAATTAGTCCTCAATAAATTTTAATTACCTACGTAGTCCTCTATAATTGAGATTTATTACCAAAATAGTCCTTTGTAGTAAGGTGTTTTCCCAAATCGGTCTTCAATAAGAAGACCATACGATATACCCTTAGTGACTCGTGTGAATCTATGGTTCTTTATGTGTCATTAGGATAAAATATGGATTACCCAAATTTTTATGAACCATCTATAATGTTATCAAGTTTCCTTAAAAAAATATGCTATTAAATTTGACTTCATAAATAACAATTGTCTATAAATTTACTTATACAAACAATTTAAGAATTTATGGACACTAAAAAAGATGATAATACTCGATAATCACCATTGTATGAATAAATTCACATACATCTCGGGATATGAAATCTAAGAGAAAAAATCTATCTGGAAAGAAGTAAAAAGGTTTGAAAATACTAAAATAAGAGTTTTATGTCTTTTAGACCAAAATATGTATATAATGGCAGAGTGGTGTAAAAGAATGCATTAGCAGTGTGATGAAAAGTTATGAAAGTTTAATATGTTAGTGTGATCAGTCAACCATCGGCGATCTGTAATAACACTGTGGTGGCTGCCTCTGACGAATGGCAGTGTACCGGGGATAGTATGACAATTACTCTCTCCGTCCCCCATAAATCTTCCTATTAACCCTTTTTATTTGTCCACCATAGATCTTCTCATTATCTTTTTTAACAATTAAAATTGGTGGTCCCAAAGTGGTGAGATACAAAGTCTAGAGGGGGGGGGGTGAATAGACTTTGTTACAAATTTAAAATCTTTTTCGTTTCTTTTGAAAACGTGAAAATAAGTGTTAATCTAGAGTTCTTGAGAACTTTAGATTGTGTGCGGAATTTGGTGGGTAGAGTGAGCAGTAATCAATATGGATGGGTTAGTTTTCACAGTTAATGTAATTGCAAGTAAGAGTAAAGATAAAAGAGAGAGACACGCAAACTTTAACGAGGTTCGAAGGTGGGGTAATCTTTCTACGTCCTCAAAATCCACTATGTAGTTGGTTGTTGAATAATGAACCAACAATTACACTTGTGTGAATTTCTCCACGGTATATCTTCGCAAGACCAATGTTGCTACTGCACTCGTGCTGGCTTTGTTGTTCCTTCGAAGGTCACGCTTCTTCAACAACTGCAAG